CTGCCGGAAACAGCACAGGGGAGCACTGCCGGAAACAGAAGTTAGACTGTGGTGAAGTCCACACAGCACAGGGGAGCACTGCCGGAAACAGCACAGGGGAGCACTGCCGGAAACAGAAGTTAGACTGTGGTGAAGTCCACATGGCACAGGGAGCGCTGCCAGAAACAGAAGTTAGACTGTGGTGAAGTCCACACGGCACAGGGAACGCTGCCGGAAACAGCTCAGACTTATTTAGTGTTTGGTTTTAATTTTTTTCATCATTGTGCTTTCAGAAACCTTTTATTGCCAAAGTTTTCGTGACACCTATATTCAGTCACTAAAGCCCATATCAGGTGGCAACCTTCAGCTTAAAAGTCTAGGCTCAGATCTAGTTCCATCTGGGCCAGGGGTCAGGGATAGAGGACCCTTGATGGCAGGACAGCTACACAGACAAAAGGCTGTTCTAACTTCCAGGCGCTCCACTGTCTCCCGCCTTCACATCCACATCACACACATGGTGCAGCCACGCCTCCCAGATGTTAGCCCCATACATGACTTACATGGCGTGACAGCGGCAGCGGGTCAGACTCTAGACTCACCATCCAGGGGCTATCTGGATTATCTGCAGGATTCCATCCCAGCTGGTAGCAATGGGATGATGGTCTGAGAATGAGCAAAGGATGGGTCGGAGGCAGAAGGACCGAAGTCAAGGGACCTGACCACAACCCTCACTCCTGATATCCCCAGTTCACCTGCGACCATCTGCCTGGCTGGGTCCCACTTCATCTCTTGTTGGCTCCTGATCTAAGGAAATTTACCTTTGTGTGTCCAGTTCTGTCAACTGAAAAATGAAGTCCTACTGGAACGGAAGAGACCGGCACCAGAAGCAATTGGCGGCCTGGGTAACCCTGGCCCATGACTCAGCACTGGAAGTCTGTTCGAATCTGCCTCGCTGATTTGTGGTGAGTCCCACAGCATCTAATAGAACTAAAAATACCTTGGAAAGGATAAAATGCCACCTAATCAGTCTGGAAGAAAGTCTATCAGAGCTGAGTTCAAATCCTCCCTCAACCTCTCACCCCGTAATGACCTTGGACAAGGTACTCGGCATTTCTTTCCTTATTTATTAAAGGAAACATCTATCCCAATGGAGAGTTGTTTTGCAGTTGATAACACATAGTTTTCAGCAATAAATGTTTGGATGTAAGGGTGGGGGCTGGAACAAACCAAGGGCTCTGCAGACACAGACAACTGAACGAAGACCATTGAGAATTTGGGGACAGTGTCTCATCCAATTGCCCCAGGTGACTGAATTCACTCTGCAGCCCAAGCAGCCTCTGCAGTTACCATCCTCCTGCCTCAGTCTCCTGCACCTGCACAGTCACCCTGCAAACACAAGGGGACTGTGTTCACCCACCCACTGGATGCCAAGCCCTGCCCCTCCAGTGAGGTTTTATTGACATTGAAAGGAGAAGATCTAGTGTCCTGCCTGGGAGGAAAACTAAGCCAGCTTCCCCCAGAAGCCCCAGGTGAGCACCTGAAAGACAAGAACAGACCTCGGTGTCGTTGATACCCTCCCCCTCCCTGGTATCCAAAGCAGTAAGTGTCAGCAAAGGGAGACACTGGGCAGATCACAAGGGCCTGTGTTGAACTGGGATCTCCCAGTTCGTGCTTCTTGAGCTGGCCAGTGCATTATCACCTTGCCCGGCAAGTTAGGATTGTTTTTCCAACAGCTCAAGGAAGTTGCCAAGACTATCCAGAGTTGCCACACTTTGTTTGCTGGAGGATCTGGTAGAGGAGGCCTGCATGGCTTGGCTGCTGCCGCCAGCCTGAGTTCTAATCCCTCACGTGCCGAAATCTTCTATAGAAAGATTGTTACACAGCCGAGCACTCTGGACCTTTACTCTCCACCCATAAAAGAGGGAGAACTGTAGTTACCTTAGCCAAATTGTTCTCTGGTATTCCCCAGCAATGAAGAGGCTTAAGAGGTGCCGGGATAATTGTGGGTGGAGGAATAAAGTGGAAGATGGTAGTCATCAGCTCCAGGTCCAGGTGAGCAGGCAGCCCTTTCCACCCCAGGACCTGCTGAAAGGGGGCAGTGTTATTTTTTATATGTGTAGAACCATGGATCCATTTCAGAAGAGTCACTATTTTGTTCTAGAGGAGGAGAAGAAAATGGACAGAGGGAGGGAGGGAGGGAGAGAGAGAGAGAGAGAGAGAGAGAGAGAGAATAGGAGGGAGAGAGGGAGGCAAGGAGGATGAATAAAACTGTCACTCTGGGAATACTACCTCTAAATAAAAATTAACATTTTTTCTCTCCTTGATACCACATTGAAACAAACACTATCACTACTGAAATTATTTAACCAACAACTAGTAAAAAAGAAAGCTAACACAGAGCAAGCTCAGGTTCATCTAAAGCTTGATGAAGAAGCACATGCCTATGCAAACACAGAGCAAGCTCAGGTTCAAGTAGAGCTTAATGAAGAAGCACGTGCCTAAGCACAATCAATCATCTTATTACTAAGTCTCAGCTGGTGGCACTTATAATTTAGATTAATTATGGTCTCACACTTGAACTCACCCCCAACCTTTGTCTGATTCTTAGATCTCTCCGAGGGCTTATCTAGGACAGAATCTGATTCCCTATAATGGCCCTTGTTAAGAGGTTTTATGGTCAAACAAATTTAGGAAATGAAAATTCTGTAGTTCCTTGGAATTACATTAATGCTGATTCACCTATTAAGACACCCTTAGAGGTTCGTTGGGAAACAATCCTTCGGCCTTTAATCAGAGTTTCCCAAATAAGCTTAGTCATG